CAAATGATTTATCTTGTAATAATATCCTTGGTAATGTATCTCAGAATCCCTTACTGGGTTTCAAAACCAACTCATGGAGAGATTGCACAGTCTGATACACATTTGCAAACCTACCAATAAATCTTTACAGAAAACAAGATGTCAGAAAATCAATATAGGCACTCCTATGAACTGGGTGCCAAACTTTGATCAAGATCTGAAGCTAATAGAAAATCTGTTTAGTTCAAAGTTATCAAATCAAAAACAATACATAAAAAGCAAAACATTTCATCCACATTTTAAAAAGAAAATTGTTCTAAAATATATGTATTCTGTATTTGACAAACAGTTCATTCGACAAATGAAAACTCACAGGAATATGTTTCAGCTATTAGAACAGAATGATAGTTTTTATAATACTAGTTTAAAAACTCACTTCAAACAAAGATTGCAGTGTTTGAAGATGTAGGTTCTCAGGAGGCAACAGTACTGTTAACTTCTCCCTCCACTGGACACCAACTAACTATTTAAAGCAGAGCTTGCAACATGATAGCTATTCATAAAGGGTGTTTTTTTTTTTTACTTTTCATATAATACAGTAGTCACACAATGAGGCAGTTCATATTTTTTTTATAAACTAACTTTTTCATCACAAATTCACAAAATAGTTTTTTTTATAGTCTGCACTTTCCTTCAGAAGATAGGGATGAAATTAACCTAATTTTTGGAGTAAAAACTGAAAGTTGACTCAAATTTTTTCTGTTGGCTCAAAAATATATAGAAGAAATATTAAAGAAAAAGTACAGAAAAATGTGGGTGAGAAAGTCTGGTGGTAACAGATTTCCATGAATGTTTCTTCTCAATAGATGTACAAACATCTGGATATGCTGCTTCAAAATGTTTTTTCTTCTATACAGGTATGGCCTGGTGAGACTGTGTACCCAGATTTTACCAACCCAGTCACAAAAGTATGGTGGACAGCTGAAGCCAAGGCGTATCATGATAAAATCAATTACGATGGTTTATGGATTGTAAGTTTTCACTAAAATAACTGTGAACTTGTTTAAAAATTGTTTATACTGTAAAATACTTTATTTTAGCTGGAGTTAATTTACACTTTTACAATTTAGACTTTTTGGGTGTTTTGTATGGAATTTATTTTCACTGATTTCTGACAAGTTGAATGTAAAATATAGAAAAAAAAGTACATTCGCTTTCATTTTATTTTCACTGAATCATTCCTTCAGCGAAAATAGCGAAAATTAATTCCAAGTGAAAATAAAGTATTTTACAGTAAGTATGATCTGTGTGTAATGCATGTAAGTCCTGTTTAGGTGATAATCCATTTTTGGCAAAAGTGCCTTGCTTTGATGACTGTACTTTTGTAGTGTATTTTGAGCCAACAACAAACAAAACAAACAAACAAACAAACTTTTCTAGATGTTCAATGTCAGCTGTGTTTACTTTTATCAAATTAACTTATGAAAATAGTCTTAATAATGCTTGGTTTTTATTATTTTAATAAATAGGATATGAATGAACCTTCTAATTTTGTTGATGGATCAATACTTGGTTGCCCCGACAACAGTTATGAACACCCACCATATACACCAGGTACATGTATTCACAATCTAATATTACATATATTTATAAATTTAGTTAAATTTGTAGGCTTTTTGTTGAAATAAATTTACTTGCGATTAGATGTTTACATTACCAAGCTATGACATCATAAAAATCTCCAATTCTGATAGTGGTGATTTATAATAGACGTTAATGAATTGAAATTATATAACTCAATATGAACTGAAAGCCAGGACTTTATGTCTAGGGTTATCAATCGTATTTTCAAACATGGCATATCTCTGCAAAAAGTGAGATTCATGACTAATGTCATTATTATTTTTATTTCAGATGTACTTGGCGATAAGTTATCAGCATTTACTGTATGTGTATCAGCCAAGCAATACTGGTCAACACATTATAATGTACATAATTTATATGGAATGTCAGAAATGATCGCTTCCCATGAGTAGGTATCATATCATGTTTCAAAACTTTGCAAGAGCTTTTTAAATTAAAAATGAAAAATAAAAAAAATAATGGATTTGGATCTGTGATTGCATAATGCACACAATCAAGGTTTTACAATATTTTGATCAGAACACTGGATTTGAATAATACTTGTTGCTTCTCCATCAGGTAACAAACTTAATATAAGTAGAGTCAATGATTTAACCAGACCAGATACTGTTCAGAATTATTAATTATTTTTGTATACATGTAGATTCATTAATAAGCTTCACATGTTATTGGCTGTTGTACTGTGACATCATGTTTACATTTTTTGCCAACCGTCATGCAAATCTGTGATAACAAATGCCCCTTACTGGTCTACACAGGCTTGGGATCTGCTATTATAACTTGTTTTATTAACAGGAACATATACATTTACATGTATATTTAAAGGGCGGTAGTCATGGCGTCAAGCATGAGTGAGATATATTAGTCTCATATAAACAAAGATGGCGACTTTGATTGTTGCGCTTAACAACGAGTACAAACTGAGACATTACAAAGCTTTGATTATATATTTTTAGGTGATTGGAAGGTATCAAAGGAGTCACCGGCGGTATTCAGTGCAAGTCGCGCCCAGGTCAAACCTCATACATGTGATTTCCATTAAAAGAGTGCATTGGATTATGGGAAAATCAATGTTTATCAACACAAATGCAGCGTGACGACCACCGCCCTTTAAAAACAACAGCAGTAAACAACACTGTTATGTTATCTCCAAGTGCAAATCCCCGGTTCTTGCCAACCAGTCACTGTGCAAGCATGTAGAATGTAAACAAATATATGGCCTATAGATTGCATTTTAAATATGTCTTACTGTAGTATTTTCAGAAAATTCTGAATTGCTGAAACTTTCACAAATAGACAAAAAGCAAGATTATAATGGATTGAATACATGAAATACAATAGTAAAGTTGAATTTTTATATTTTTAAATAGGATGTCATGCCTCTCTCTTTCTCTTACATTTACAGTGCCCTTGCTAACATCAGAGGAAAGCGACCGTTAGTGATATCACGATCTACGTTCCCTAGTAGTGGCAAATATGGTGGGCATTGGTTGGGAGATAATAACAGTTTGTGGAAAGATATGTGGTATTCAATACCGGGTGAGTCATCAGTAATATGATTTACATTCAATGATTTTCATGTATAGTGTATACAATAATGTTAGTGAATTATATAATATATTGAGATGGAAAATACATCCTAAGAATGTATGTGTCTAAAACGCTATTGACATAACAAATTCCTGACAGTTTTCTAAGCTATTTACTGTACAAATAGTGCCTGCAATACCATTAATATAGACTTAGCCATTTTTGGCTTAATGGTATGGAGAGATATTTCGCATATCAGAAATAAAAGTGAGATTATTGCTGTCCGAAAACAGGGACTTAAATAATATCATCACTGTGTCTGCTACCATCTGCGTGTACCTGTATCTTATATCGATCAAACTTTACAACTGAAAAATTTTCACCTGAATGAATCAAATAGCTGACCACTTTTAGTTGTACTACTATTTATTTACTACTTGTCTGAGTATTGAGAAATTTGTTTATACGAGTTTATGCAAATCCATCATGAATGTGGCTCAAGTGTTCATATATGGTTTGAATGAAAAAACAAATTATTTCTGTTGCTTTTGGCAATTTTTTAATTAATAGGACATTATTGTATTCATGTATTTTCCATCACTAATTGAACTTTCAAAAGTTGCAATCACCCCCCCCCCCCCCCAAATGAATGCACTTTAGAATGACCAATGATCTCATAATGTGGATTATCTTATTCTTGCGGGAGTTGACGTGACTTACAGTACATTAAAACAATTGGAAATTAGTATTTACTCTGATTTGCCCAGGGCCTTTAAATTTATATTCATTTTAAAATGAAAATATTTTATAACAACTTGTTTTTTTCAGGTATACTAAATTTCAACTTGTTTGGTATTCCATTGGTTGGTGCTGACATATGTGGTTTTGGTGGTACCACCACAGAAGAACTTTGCCAAAGATGGCAGCAACTAGGAGCTTTTTATCCATTCTCACGAAATCACAACACACTGGGGTCAAAGGTAGGATGCAAATAATGAGGTTTAAATTTAATTCATAATTTATAATAGTAATGTCCAGCCTGTGAAGCTAGTACTATGCATTCAGTCATCATCAACTTGAAAGTTAATATTGGGGTAAATATTGATGGCTGTGATTATTTTTTAGTGTAAACTTCACAACCGAGTGGACCGTATGCTTTTGATGTGCTATTTGAAAATGTTACTTTTCAGAGACATCTTCATAAAGTATGGATAGATCTTCAGTTTTTTAATGAAAGTTCTATACTTTGTTGAAAAATGGGAGGTTCTAAATTCTACATTTTGACTGAAATGTGGGTCAGACTTTTTATTTAGTGTCAAAAAAATGTCACAAACAGTTGCATCACATTTTTACAGCATAAAAAAGAATTTACATCAAAGCTTCACAATGTGAAGTACTCCACATTGCCCTGTTACCTTGTATGGAGAGTTGTATATTTATTTCTTTGTTTTTATACATAGGATCAAGACCCCACGTCATTTAGTCCAGCAATGCAGAAATCTACCAGAGATATTCTTCTCATTAGATATTCATTATTACCATATCTATATACTTTATTCCACAAAGGTCATGTGACTGGTTCAACCATTGTCAGACCACTATTTTTTGAGTAAGTTTCCCTAACAGTATTGCAGAGAAATAATGTCTTTGGGTAGTATTGTCATGCTATCTATTTTGATTACACTTTTTACTGATTTAATAATAAATACATTT